ACCCTCTCATGTAGTTTGGAATTATTTGTGGATGTAAACTTATAATAGTTCCTGACTTTAATTAAACAGGTTCAGAAATGGTTGATATATGTATTTTGTTGAATGTTGATGATTCAATTTATTCGTTGGTTTGAATGATTTTTGCAAATTACAGATTATATTGAATAAATTTGATGGATTATTATAAATTACAGGTTTATTTTGTTGGATGTTGGCGACCAAAATTTGGTTTTGTTTTTATAATTTTGGCAACCAATTGATTAGTCGGAAAAGATAAGTTATACTTTTGCCGACTAAATAAAGTAGTCGGTGTATCACCAAGCACATTTGGTGACTAAATAATTAGTCGTTAAAATTATTAATTTTGGCAACCAAAGGATTTGGTCGCGAATAAGTCTATTGTCGACTAAAGTTTTAGTTGCGCAAACATTTCTTTTGGCGACAAACATATTTGGTCGTGGAATGTGACAATTGGCGACCAAACTAAGAGGTCATAGAATGTCACAATTGGCGACAAAAATTTTTGGTCGTGGAATGTGATAATTGGCGACCAAACTAAGAGGTCGCAGAATGTCACAATTGGCGACCAATATTTTTGGTCGTGAAATATCACAATTGGCGACCAAATTTGTTGGTCGTGGAATGTGACAATTGGTGACTAAGATATTTGGTGGGCAAAGGTGACTTTTCAAGACCAAAATGTTTTAGCGACAAAAATGATTAGTCGCAGTAATGATATATTTAGCGACTAAAAATTTAGTCGGCAAATCCAACTTTTCCCGATCAATCAAAATTTTGGTCGCGAATTACTTTTGCTGACCCTCAATTGGCGACCAAAGTAGCGACCAAAAAAATTGGTCGCGGATAACTTTTGCCGACCAAAAATGGACTTTTAGCGACCAATTTTTTGGTCGGCAAAAGTGTTAATTCTTGTAGTGTTCCTCTCCTTCACCTTTTTGCAAAATGATTTTTTAGAAAGCCCACTATATATGTGAGACCCCCTTCAAAATTTCATGACCTATTTTTCAAAATGATTTCTTAGAAAGCCCACTATATATGTGAGATCCCCACTATATATGTGAGATCCCCTTCAAAATTTCATGATCTAATCATAGCTGCAGGATGTGTATTTTTTTCACTAGATAGGATTGGTTTTTGAGAATTGATATGATTTTGTTTGTTGGGCACATGGCCATGTAGTCTTCCTCACTCATTTGAAATTTTTTGCAAGAATTGGGTGTTTAGTCCGAATAAGAAGATTGGAGATAATTATTACCCTCTTGAATTGGATGGGGTAAATTTAACTTGAAATGTAATTGGATCTTTTGTTCTTATTCATAGTAAATTTAAACTATTCATAGTAAATTTAAGTTGAAATGTAATTGGATCTTTTGTTCCTATTCACAGTAAATTTAACCTAATCCTGCTTGTATTTTTTGTTTGATATTTAGGGTATTCTGAGTCAGATTGCGCATTGGATGGGCTCATGTAAATTTAAGTTGAAATGTATTTTTTATTTTTATTTTTTATCTTGTGTGCACTAGATAAGTCTTTATAGTCTGCATAGGCTTTTTGAAACATAAGAATTGAGAGTTTAGTCTGAATAAAAAGATCACCTTATTAAATTGGATGGACACATGTAAATTTAGTTGAAATGTGTAGTTAGGGACCTTTTGTTCCTATTCATAGTAAGTTTGTCCTAAGCCAGATTGAGCATTGGATGGGCTTATGTAAATTGAAGTTGAAATGTCTTTTTTTTTTTTTTTTTTTTTTTTTAATCTTGTGCGCACTAGATTAAGTTAAGGGAGCAAACTTTCAAGTCCAGGCCTCATCCACCATGCCACACCCTTGGAAGTGTCATTATTTTAGTCTCCGTAGTTTTAATTTGAACAATTTAGTCCCTACATTTTTAATTTTGTTGCAATTTGGTCTCTTCATTACTTGTCATTCGAATTTGGAATGAAAAACAAAACTAGAGGGACCAAAGTGAAATTCAAAATAATTTAGAGGGTCCACTGATGTAACAAATTCATTATGCTGGTGGTTTCTACAGTTTCTTTAGAATTTCACTTTGATCCCTATAGTTTTCAAAATGTTAACAACACATGTTGAAACAAAATTGAAAGTATAGGGATTAAATTGTTAAAGTGACACTTCACTCAAACTAGAGGGCCAATGGCATAATTTATCCTAAATTTAAATTAAGCACGGACAAGTTATCCAAGGTAATTTGATGGTAAGCATAGCTTACATGAATGCATCCACAATACATGTAAATTTGGAAAAATTCTAGTGTGTATCATATGTATCTTATTATGTATTTTTGTAATATATATTACGTAATTTTTTGGTGTAGAGTTATAATAATAGAAATACAATAAAATACGATTATCAAATTGACTTAATTTTTTTAAGAATAATATATACGTAGTGCTCTACAAAATGAACACAAATGTGAACAAGAGAGACGTGCTTGTAAAGATCCGTAATTTACAAAGAAGATATATAGAAATTGCTCATGACGTGGAATTCTAAATTTACTCCGTTTTTTTTTTTTTTGCATAGCAATTCTCAATTATTGTGGGCATTTTGGAAAAATAGGAAGTGTGACGGAGTTGTTCACACAAAATGACATACACTTTATACTAGCGGCCACACATGTAATGCGTGTGCAAATTTATGATCTTAGTCTCAAGTTTTGTCATCTTTTTTTCCACATAAATATCAACTATAGTGGTATTTTGGAAAAATTCAAAATATATAACACAAAAGTATCAATGCCATCATACGCCTTCCCGTTATATAATAGAATAAATAATATTAGCGGTCTGCACACGCAATGTTTGAGCACTCGAAAAAAATAATAATATAAAAAAAGAAAAATGTTTATATAATGTGTGAATTTAAGTGGTAAGAACTTTCATAATTAAATCGAAGGTCTTGGATTCAAGGCCTGTTCTCCTCTTACCCGCCTTCAAAATAGATAGATTATAATATAGATATTTTTACAAAATTTATGTCATGTGCAAATTTATGATCTTAGTCTCAAGTTTTGTCATCTTTTTTCCACATAAATATCAACTATAGTGGTATTTTGGAAAAATTCAAAATATATAACACAAAAGTATCAATGCCATCATACGCCTTCCCTTTATATAATAGAATAAATAATATTAGCGGTCTGCACACGCAATGTTTGAGCACTCGAAAAAAATAATAATATAAAAAAAGAAAAATGTTTATATAATGTGTGAATTTAAGTGGTAAGAACTTTCATAATTAAATCGAAGGTCTTGGATTCAAGGCCTGTTCTCCTCTTACCCGCCTTCAAAATAGATAGATTATAATATAGATATTTTTACAAAATTTATGTACACAATTCCTGACCAAAATGATGTGATAGTGGTATTTTTTAAAATTTAAGTCAATTTGTTTGTTTGTTTGTTTGTTTGCTTGTTTTTTTTTTTATTTTTTTAATGAGCCAAAAACAGAATTTTAGCAAGTTAGAACTAATAGGTTAAAGGGAGTGTACTGTTGGGCCCATGGGGCCCATCACGGGTTTCATTTTGATGATTTGAACTATTCAATATATAGAGCTCATCGAGTACTTTATGCTTGTAAAAAATCAATATTGATCGGATATCAGTAGCCCCTTAATCAGAATACCTTTTTGTTAATAATTTATTTTTAAAATCATATTTATCATTGACAAAAATGTGTTTCGATCAAGGAGCTACCGATATCTAATCAGAGTGATTTTTTGCAAATATAAAATATTAAACGGTTCACATCATTGAAACGGGATCCTTAGTGAATCTCACAAATGCAACAATATGTTTCAATCCACCATATAAACAGGAAGAAACCTGTCTCTAAATTAAATTACTCCTACGCATTTAATCGTCTCCATAAGTTCGAACCCAAATCTTCTACATAATATACTTTTTGGTATGTGTTTTATAAGTCATTAGTTAAATAACCGCGTTTCATGAATGGAATCATCAATTTAAACTTTAGGTTTTAAGATTTTCAATTTTTCAGTAAATACTTTTATTAATAGGATCATGTTAATAATTGGGTAAAAATAATAAATCTTTTATATTTTTATTTTTTTATCAAATTAATTTTTAATATGTATTTGGATGATAATCATATGAGTGGTTGTTTTTGAATGGTTGTTTTTGTTGATATTTTTGGATGATTATAATGTAATAGATAGTTGTATTTATTGTTAACAGATATTTTTTTTTGTGATTATCATGTAATTGATAGTTATTAGGTTTTTAATGTGTAATCGATATGTTTAATATATGAAATGTTTTTAATTTTGAACTTTTTGATTTAATGGATTAATTTAATAATGACATCAAAGTTGTTGCCATATTTGGCTTTTGAAAAATTTGAAACTAATTTAATGAAAATAAATATCTAAAAAAATATTTTATTATTTCTACCCTCCCAAAAGATAAAATTATATAAAAATGATGTATTTTTTTTAAAAAATTCACTAATTTAATTTTTAATTTCTTAGAATTTTTTTTTGAAAATAGATTCTTAAAACCAAATCAAATAGAATTTTGTAACCAAAAAAATTTCAGTATTATTCATTAAAAAAAAGGTCATTACATTTCAAACAACATACAAATTAACCAAACATAAAATAAATTATATGACGATTTTGCCTTTAAAATAGACCATTTACAAAGAAAATATCTTTAATTGTTCTTATTTGAAACAAGATTCAAAATTTATGATAAAATATATTATAATTGAAAAATCAAGAACCAAAATAATACAAGCTCTAAACTACATAAACTTTTAGTGCAATTCGCCCTCAAATTTATGAAAACAAACTGTACATGATTTAGACTTTTAGGTTGGGAGTTAAAAGTTCAAAACGTTTAAACCTTAATTGAAAAAGATTATTCGAGAGATAAAAATGTAAAACATTTAATGCATAATTGAACACAGTGTTATGCTTAAGAGAAAGAGAGAGAATATTGCAAATGATGAGAAACACAAAGGCATCCTTCATTGCCTTTTAGCTTGAATACAAAAAAGACACACACATCAAAATAGTAATCTCACAAAAACGAACGTGTACAATAAATCAAAACAGTAAAGATTAGGAGTACTAATTTTGATACTTTAATGGAATACTAATAACATGATAAGGAAAAAAAAAAAAAAAAAAAAATCAAGACCAAAACATCACATCACAGTGGGTGACATTTACTGTCAGCTCATTAGAGCTGGCTTTAGAGCTCAAGAATTAGAGTTTCAAAACATTTTTCTAATCCAAATATCAGCACAGCAATTCCAATCTAGAAAATATAGAGAGAGAGGAGAAAGAGAGAGTCGACATCCTCTCATGTCGATTTCTTCGTACATCCATCAAGCTAGCAACCTGAAAAGCCGTATATCATGAAAAATTATTTGTTAGTCCTGAGACAAATCACAAATCCATATGATGCCCTAATCATAGAACGGAGGAGATCAAGATCCAGAAGTCAAATCGAGCTTTCTCCTAAACCAAGAAAAGGGGAACATGAATAGGAAAAAGCATGCAGCTTTAACCTTTGGCTAAAAGCAAATACTAACATTTCATATCCAAATATACCAAACAATAACATCCATGTGTTTCTATAAGCTAAACTTTTTATTTTTTTGAATGGATGCATAAGCTAAACTCAAAATGAAAATTGATTTACAAAAATAATTCTTTCTACAAAAAAATTCAATCACAATGTTGAAATGAAAGGTGTTTTAGTTGGGAATGAAATAAATATAAAATACCACTTCATTCTGTATGAAAATTTTGTACAAAGTTTTTGTTTGTATACAATTACCCACTTGAAATAAGAGGAGAAAAAAACCTAGAAAAGCAAAAGAGTAGGGTTAAATTTGAAATAACAAGAGAAGAAGAAGAAAATCAAACTAGAAAAGCACAAGAATAGGGTTAGAGCTAGAGTTCTAAATATTGGCTGATACTTATATAACGATTTTGAATTTTTTACATTAATATTCATTGATATATTGATCGATATTAATTGATATAATAGTGTCAATAATATTAATCCATATTCTGATGCTATTATTTAATTTCAGGATTAGGGTTTGAGATTAGGGTTTTGAGAAGAAGTGAGTAGTACTTAACTTAGATCTAGAGAGAGCAAGTGAAGCCAGGAGGGGGTGTCTTCCCACAAGTGACAAGAAGTTGAAGAGCCAGTGGAACAAAAATATTAAGGTTAAGAACCTTAAGCTTCAAAGTAGTACACAAACACACTGCAGCCTCAATCTCCACCAGCCCTTGCAACACAGGGCAACACTGGTTCGCCACCGGGTCGCCGAGCCCAATGTGGACCAACCCACCAAGAAGATCCACACAAGCTCCAAGTTTGAGTGTGTCAATTGGGCATGTCTGAGCCCCCGGTGGCGGCGGGCAAGGCTTGGTGGTGGTTGGTGGGTTAGTCACCGGAGGGATGGTCACCGGAGGGAGGTTGATGGGTGGTTTAACAATGGGTGGGAGGGTAATGGGTTTTTTGTGTTTTGGAGAGGGTTTTGAACAGTGGCCACAGCCAAGGATTGGGGTGGTTGAGGAGATGAAGAGCATGGAAATGAGAAGGAGAGTGGTGAACTTAGTGGATTCCATTTTTTTTGGTGTCTCTCTCTCTCTCTATGGTTTGTGTTGAAGAAGAAGGAGAGAAATGAGGTGGTAAAATTGTTGTAGATGAGTAAGGTGTTATATAGAAAAATAACTCTAGGAATACGGAAACTATATAAAATCATATACAGAAAAAATAAAAAGTTCCTATATGTTGGCATTTGTGTCAAGTTCTTTTAATTTCATTTAGATTGATTTGAATTTTGAATTTTTTATTTTGTCTTAAATTAATCTAATTAATTCTAATTATTAGCATTTTTTTATGATAAATACACATGAACGACATGTGTCATATTTTTAAGAATAAAATTCTAAACTCAATTAATTTAGTGATTTAATCTCAACCAATTCAATGAAAATTTTCTATCAAAAATTTTAACGATATTATCAATTGAATCAAATTGATGACAAAATTAAAATTAAGAGTAAAAATTGAGTAAATTAAAATTGTAAGGACTAAAATAATATAAGTACCACCGATATAATTTGTCCGAAAATAAATAAATAGATAAAATTTTTTAGAAATAAATTTTATAAAATTTTCTTGACTGATTTTTTGTGTCTCATTTTATATTAGATTTTTATATTTTTAGCATGGTTGTACATAGATTGATGTCTCGTTTGGGAACATTACTTTTTAACTTAAAAGTCAAAAAGTTATTAAAAAATAAAAATAAAATACACAAATTATACCCCCAAAAAAAAAGGCAAATATTTTTTTTCTCTCTACTTTTTATACATCTTTTTGTAAAAAATTTAAAAATCATTATAAACATACTAATTTTTTTAACTCATATTTTAGTAAAAAAATATTTAAATAACTTATTTTCAAACTAAGCCTAAGTGAGTACCTAAAAAATTAAAATAAAACATTAAAGGGTGTGTTTGGTTTGTGGTTTGAAATAAATTTTCAAAAAAAAAAAAAGAAAAATTGAGGAGAGAGTTTAGAAATTTTTTTGGTTTGTTTTGTTGTATATTTTGAAAATAGTTTTGAAATTTGGGATGATTTGATGTTTTGTTGTAATTGAGTAGATGTCTGCGAAAGAAAAAGTGATTGATTGATATATAATAGAGAGAAATAATTTTAAAATTTTTTTGAAAAAATTTATAACTAAACATGTTTATGAAAATTTTTCTTCTAAAAATATATTTCAAAATATAAACCAAACACACCCTCAACCCTTGACGCAGATCACGTGAACTTTGATCGGCCAGGCTCAAAGGCAGTTGACAATTTTGCTACCTTGCAAACGAAACTTGTGCTTAGGCCTCGTTTGGGAACAGGCTAATTTAGTAACTTTTTGGCTAATTGGCTAAAAAGGTAGGTAAAAAAAACTTGTATGTTTGGGATGACTTTTTGACTAATTACGAAAAGCTGTGCAAAAAGTAGAGAGAAGCCGTAATTGTTGACTTTTTGGTATGACTAATTGGCTAATTGACTAATTTAGTAACTTTTTGACTAATTAACTAAAAAGGTAGCATCACAAACGAGGCCTTAGTCTGTTTGATCAATAAGAAAAAGAAAAGTAAAAAAGTGAAAGGTTTAGAAAGTAAAGTGAGAGAAAGAAAATAACAATTAAATACGAATTATACTAATGGTTCTTATAATTTAACTTTTGTATTATTTTGATTTTTGATTTTTTAATTATGACATATTTGATCTTGAATTTTAAACTTGCTTCAAATAAGATTAATTGAAAATACAATTACTCAATTTTAATGACAAAATTGTCAATTTGTTAAAATATAAACTAATTTAACAAAAATAAATATCAAAAAAATATTTTTGAATTTTTAAAAATTATTTCTACTCACTAAAGATAAAATTATATAAAATTGATAAATTTTTTAGACATTTATTTAATTATTTATTTATCAAATTAATTTTTATTATGTGTTTGAATGATGATCATATAATAGGTGGTTGTTTTTATTATCATTCAATTAGTTTCTATTTTTTTAAAATTCAAATATGGAGACAACTTTGATATCTTTATTAAATCAATCCATTAAATCAAAAAATTCAAAACTAAAAACATTTCATATATTAAATATATTAATTACAGATTAAAAACCTAACAACCACCCATTACATGATCATTATTCCAACACATAATAAAAATTAATTTGGTAAAGTAAATAAATAAATAAATGTCTACAAGATTTACTTTCTTCATCCCAAAATATTAGATCCTTTTCAAAAATTAAGGAATAAAATAATATGAATTTACTATTTTTTCTTTCTTTTAAATTTATTGATAACCAAAAAGTACAATTATGACAATTGATATTCTCTAAAAAATCTACTATTAAAGGGTAATTTTAAGAAATTAATATTTTTAAAATATAATAATTATACTATTAAAAAAAGTTAGATTTTGCAATAGGGACCATTATTTTGGGACATATGGAGTATCAATTTTTTCATAATTTTGTCTTTGGAGGGTAAAAATTATTTTTAAAAATTCAAAAATATTTTTTTAACATTTATTTTTGTCAAATTAGTTTATATTTTATCAAATTGATGACTTTACCCTTGAAATTGAGCAATGATATCTTCAATTGTCCTTATTTGGAACAAGATTCAAAATTCAGGGTCAAATGTGCCACAATTGAAAAGTTAAGGATCAAAGTGATACGAACTCTAAATATAGGGACTGCTAGTATAATTTGTCCAAAATTGAATATATTTTTTTACAAGCATTTGATCAAGATGCAATTTTTTAAGAAAAAAATGGAAAATTTTAATTTTAAATGACTTCATCATCGACAAATTTAAATTTATACTCATTGTGTGGAAATAATTTTTGAGTGACAACACGTGGCCGAGGTGTCACCAAAGTGCTAGTCGGGGTGCCACGTGTCCTGGTCACAACGCCGAGGTGATCTCGGCTAGGCCGAAGTTATCTGCGAGAATAACGAAATCCGGAATAAGCGGATAAGAGACAAGAGTCCTAGAATGGGAGATGATTTCAGTTTGGATAAAGATAAGACTCTTAGAGCGTTTATCACAATCCTACTGGGAGTCTAAGATTAACAGTAATCCTAAGTCCATTGAAGCTAGGCTTCTATTGGGACTAGGATTGTGTTGGTTAAAAAAGAGAGGCACCCTCGTGGGTCTAAGGTACGCTTTTTATGCTCTGAATAGTAAATTGAGCACTTTTTCTATCTTTGAGAGATAACTGACTTGATCATCAGAGTGCTCCCGGATGGACGAACCACCGCCGGAATCTCTTCTTTCTGTTGCAGGTCATTCAGGTGCCATCTATTCCGCCAGTGCTCTCCAGTTGAATACTAAGTTGGCAGTGTGGTCAGAAATTAACACACACAATTTGGCGTCGTCTGTGGGGAAAAAAGGAGAATAGATGGCCAACGACGGACAGAAAGAGAAGATTTGAGATAACATTCCTACTGGGAGTGGGAAACCTGTTGACCTTGACGTTGAAGAAGACAACTGCAACGAAAAAACTCGTGATAAGAATCACGGAGGAAAGGACATCGGCCAGGAAGGCGACGTACCAAAGAAAACGGACCAAAACGAGTATTACAACGAGGACGACCTTCAGGTATGGAAGGATAGATGCCTACGGAAGGACGATGAGGTAAAGGGAATGGCGAACAAATTGGCAGACCTACAAACAGTCGTCAATTTCATGATGCAGAGCAACGTCATGCAGCCACCGTTCCCGTTACAAGATACACCGATTCCAGCGGCCAAGAAAGATGCCCGACAAGATGGGCAGAAAACAGTCCCTACAGTCCCCCAGCACACTAGGAGCGAAAAACACTCTCATCGGCCTTCAAGGGAGGTCGGGCGAGAAAAGTCAAGAAGGGAATAATCTTGGAGGACACATCGCACCAAGGAAGCAGACCCTAAAGAACATCGACATGTTCAAGGGCATGAGTTGCGCTTCGACGCAACTAATGGGGAAAGGTCAAAGAGAGCTCACAATGAAGTTGAGAATAGTGCACCTAAAAGGCTGAAGTCAGGAGATAGCCGAGGTCCTGGTCGGACCAAGGAGGACCTAAGGGATTACCTACAGAGGAGGCAACAAGATGCCGAGGTAACCTCCCCGGTCAAGCCGAGAACTTCATTCTCAATAGAATTGGACAAATTTGAAGCCCCGATGAGGTTTAGCCGAGATTCCAGATCTACGACGGGAAGTCGGACCCCCAACTTGAAGTCGGACTCCAACTTTCACGTCGATTTGTACCTGAACTCGATGGCGTTATACACCGGGAACGAGCCGTTGTTTTGCAAGGTGTTCCCCTCATCCTTCGGAGAAATTGGATCAGCCTGGTTTCACAAGTTGCCGAAAGGAACTATGAAAACCTGGGAAGGCCTGGCCGAGATGTTTGTATCCAGATTTGTGATGAACAAACTACAGCCATTAAGGGTGGATGCCCTGATGGCTTTGAAAATTGGCGAGGACGAAAGCCTGAGGGCCTATGCCAAAAGGTACTATGAGGTATTCAACCGGATACCAGAATGCAACCAAAAGGTGGCGGTCGTATCATTTAAGAACGGCCTAAAAGATAATTGTCTGCTTCGAAAATCATTGGCAAAAACACTGCCAAAAAGTATGGAGGAATTAATGGCCAGAATAGAAAAGTACGCCAGGGCCGAGGAGGATACGCCGGGAACAAAGGCGCCAAAACTAGAGAGGAAAAACAGCTCGCCGAAGCGAGGCCGAGGTGATGGTGGCTACAACAAACCAGAAATCGGATTAAGGGCTGCTCAGGTAGTCACAACCGTATTCCGAATTCCAGTTTACAAAGTCTTGGAGAAAATCCGCAATCAGCCTTACTATAGAGCACCAGCAAGGGTACCAGGCGAGTTTATGGGAAGAAGCCTTGACAGGAACTGCGCTTACCATAATGAAGCTGGACATCTGACTCAGGGGTGCAGAGACCTGAAGACACATCTGGAAGACCTGGTAAGACAGGGCCATTTAAGGGACATGGTAGATGAAGCCAGAACAAGGGAAGGGCAGGCAAGACTGCCCCAGGCACCAACAGTACCACCCCCACCAGCACCACAACCACAGGCAGGCAGACCTTGAGTG